CTTATATAGTTCTGTCTTACTAGGGTTAAAGAAATATTTGAAGCACAAATTTTACTTTTTGTTGTATGAAGACTTTATGAAAAAAACCCGAAAAAACCTGAAAACCCGAGTAAAACCGAGATGAAAAAACCCGATTTTTATTGGTTGATTTGGTATTTAGATTTAATAATCCGATACAATTAGTTTGGTTTGGTAATTAGGAAATTCGAACCAACCCGACTCATGTACACCCCTAGCTAGAATTTGAATTTGTAAAGATTTTATATATAACTTGAATACAATTTTTGTTGTACAAATTTAGAAATTTTGCTACAATTTATATACAATTTATATACAACTTGTATATATTATTTTTGTGCGGAATCCGGTCAAAAATCTATAATTTACATACAACTTATTTTTTATATAATTATGTTAGTCGTATTTTTTTTTTTTTTTTATTGTTTGTACACTCTGCATAGAGAAGTCTGAAATTCCAACAAAAACCAACCGGATCTTCACCAAATTCTCTCAAAATATTTAGTGGCTGTCAACGAAGATTTTTATTAGTTGTCAAATTCTTCTCTATAACATCGGTGGGTTTACCAGAGTCCTCTCAATCCGTTAAGAGGTTTATTTCTTTCGCAGGTCTGTTCATTCATTCTTTTCCTTCAAACTTTGTTGCTTTTTATTTTTTGTTATTGCTATGTTTTTTTAGAGAAATTAGATGCTGAGTGAAACTGACTGGTGCAGAGTTGATGGTGAAAGAATTTTATGGATCGTCAATGAATTTGAAGAGGTTTGAATTTGGAGAAAGAAGAAGAAGAAGGAGAGAAAATGGGTTAGATTCTAATACATTATTTTGTATATAAATATGATAATGTAATTAAGTTATAACCTCTCTACGTGGTAAATAGTTTATACTGTAGTATAAATAGGTAAATGTGATGATCCAGTCAAAAAATGAAATAGCGTGATCAAGTTAGCGGATAAACATAATACGACTAGTTATCAAGTTATGCATTTCAAGTTCTTTTTAATGTTTGACGTCAACTCTCAAAATGCAGATATATCTGTATGATTCTCAATTCCTGAATTTAAATCCTTGAATGTTGAACACCTGTATTTGGGCCTGAGGTCGTAGTTTATATGATTTATGCATATTTGGGCCTCAGGCCGTAGTTTATGCTTTATGCATGTTTAGGCCTGAGGCCGTAGTTATGCATACATATACTCGGACCTGAGGCCATAGCTTGTGCACATATATATTGGGCCTGAGGCCGTAGTTTATTTAGATAAACAGGTTGTTCATCATTCATAAGAGGGAGTATTCATATAATTACTTCCTTTGTTCAGTTATGAGTTATAATTTTAGTTATCGGTTATCGTTTCAGTTATCAATTATCGTTTCAGTTATCAGTTATCTATGCAATTTTAGTTTTAGCAGTTATCAGTAATATGTTCTCTATTATCAGCTCAGTTTTAGTTTCAACATTTGCAGTTCTTTCTTTCAGTTGCTTTACATACCATTACAAATCAAATGTACTGACGTCCCTTTTTGCCCGGGGCGTACATAGAGATGCAGGTAATGATTTATAGGTTGACGATTTCGAGCGCTAGGATTCTCGTACCAGCTATTTGGTGATCCCCAGTCCTTTCGGGGCATTATCATTACCTTACAGTCTTCAGTATTTTCAGACAATCAATGTTTTCGGTACTTCATTAGAGGCTTCATAGACTAGAGTAACAGTTAGACAGAGTCGCATGCTTTTCATGTTAAGCTATGTTGGCTACAAATATGTTTCAAAATTGTATTAGTATTTATGCACTTTGATTTATATTATCCAGACTTTCAGTACATCAGCATGTGTGTGTTTATCTTCCGCATTCAGTATGTTATGATATCACATGTTGATTCAACCACCAGTTGGTTCACTCGGTCGCATGTAGTCTGGCACCGGGTGCCGTTTTAAGTCCAGGCCCATTTTTGGGGCGTGACACTAAGAGGGCACTACCAAATGACACTGTAGTAAACCCAAAGGTTGGAAACAATACGAGGCATGCCATGGTCATTACTACAAGAAGTGGAAGAGGTGGAAATGCACCCACCTCAAGTTAAAGGCAACTTGTGGATGATGAGCAAGTGGTGCAAGAAGAATAGATCCCGAGCAATGAGGTGCAAACTAATGATGAAGTCCGGATTGATGTTGATGATAGTGTGGAAGATACTCTAGAGTCGTTAAACATGTCTAGGGATCATATTATTGACATACCAGAGCCAGTAGTGCAAAATGCTAAGGCACCATGGCCTAAGCCTCCACCTCCATACCCTCAAAGACTTACCAAGCAAAATGGTAAAAACTAATTCAAGAAGTTTATTCAAATGATGAAGAGTCTCTCAATCAATGTGCCTTTAGTTGAAGCTTTTGAGCAAATGCCCGGTAATGCAAAGTTCATGAAGGATCTCGTGACAAAGAAGCGGTCAATCAATTTTGAAATGATCAAAGTCACTCTTCAAGTGAGTATTGTGCATTTAATGGCTCCTAAGTTCGAGGACCCCGGTGCTTTCACGATTCCTTGTACAATTGGAAGTGCCAACTTTATTAAAGCTCTTTGTGATCTTGAGGCAAGTATCAATTTGACGCATGTCGTGCCCCATTTTCTCGCGAAATAGGTTTTCGACATGTGACAACACTTTTGAAAGGAAATATTAAAAGGGGAGAGTTGCCACCTAACGATTTTGAGGTGCATTAGGGCACTTATTTGCAAATGACTCTGTTTGACTAGTCCGTGTCTCCAAAGATCGGGCAAGGGCTTAAATTACCTCAAAGAGATGGTGTTAGGCACTTTTCGAGGTCCACAACTGTGGGTCCAGACCGAACATTAGACTATGTGATTATATAGCTAAGCTAGGTGATCAAATAAATAAAGGAAAATTTAGAAGTCGAAGAGTATTATTAAAACATGTGAATATTGGTACAAATCTTAATGACTACAAGGATACTACTTCATTGGCCTAAGTTAAATGAGTAAGTGTAAATAATAAGTACATAAAGAAAGGGGGGGGGGATCCTAAGTGTCTTTGCCTAAAGGATCACCCCGTGCAACATAAATAATACTTCACAACACCCTTAAGGTAAAGGTTGCTCATATTATTCAGCGGGCACAAACTATCATCTCCTGCTACCCAATTACTATGTTAAAGTTGTTTACCTTAAGCGCTCTAATTCTATTCTAAATCGTACCCTATGTGTGCTTTACCCGTCCCATGCCTATGATCCAAGAGGCTCTAGGCCTACTACTTTGGTAGTATTCTAGTATCATGTAACTCAATATGATTTACTATTTCAGCATCACATATAGCTGTATGATTCTCAATTCCTGAATTAAAATCCCTGAATGTTGAACACCTGTATTTGGGCATGAGGTCGTAGTTTATATGCTTTATGCATGTTTGGGCCTGAGGCCGTAGTTTATGCTTTATGCATGTTTGGGCCTAAGCCAGTAGTTTATGCTTTATGTATTTTTGGGCCTGAGGCCGTAGTTATGCATACATATACTCGGACCTGAGGCCGTAGCTTGTGCATATATATATTGAGCCTGAGGCCGTAGTTTATTCAAATAAACAGGTTGTTCATCATTCAGAAGGGGGAGTATTCATATCCTTACTTCCTTTGTTCAGTTATGATTTATCATTTCAGTTATCATTTATGTTATCAGTTATCAATTATAGTTTTAGTTATCAGTTAACGTTTCAGTTATCAGTTATCAGTTATCAATGCAGTTTCAGTTTCAGCAGTTATCATTTCAGTTATCAATTATCAGTTCTCTATTATCAGCTCAGTTTCAGTTTCAACATTTGCAGTTCTTTCTTTCAGTTGCTTTACATACCAGTGCAATTCAAATGTACTGACGTCCCTTTTTGCCCGGGGCCTACATCGAGATGCAGGTAATGATTTATAGGTTGAAGATTCAGAGCGCTAGGATTCTCGTACTAGCTATTTGGTGATCCCCAGTTCTTTCGGGGAATTATCATTACCTTACAGTCTTCAGTATTTTCAGACGGTCAGTTTTTTCGGTACTTCATTAGAGGCTTCATAGACTAGAGTAACATTTAGACAGAGCCACATGCTTTTCATGTTAAGCTATATTGACAACAAATATGTTTCAGAATTGTATTAGTATTTCCGCACTTTGATTTATATCATCCAAACATTCTGTATATCAACATGTGTTTGTTTATCTTCCGAATTCAATATGTTATGATATCACATGTTGATTCAGCCACCAGTTGGTTCGCTCGATAGCATGTAATCAGTCACCGAGTGTCGTGTTAAGTCCAGACCCAGTTTCAGGGCATGAAACTAAGGGGGCAGTACCAAGTGACACGGTAGTAAAACCAAAGGGTAGAAACAACACGAGGCATGTCATGGTCGGTACTACAAGAAGTGGAAGAGGTGGAAATGCACCCACCTCAAGTCAAAGGCAACTTGTGGTTGATGAGCAAGTGGTGCAAGAAGAAGAGATTCCGAGCAATGAAGTGCAAACTAATGATGAAGTCTGGATTGATATTGATGATAGTGTGAAAGATACTCAATAGGAGGTAAACCCATCTAGGGATCATATTACTACACACCAGAGTCGGTCGTGCAAAGGGCTAAGGAACCATTTCCTAAGCTTCCACCTCCATACCCTCAAAGACTTACCAAGAAAAATGGTGAAAACCAATTCAAGAAGTTTATTAAAATGATGAAGAGCCTCTCAATCTATGTGCCATTAATTGAAGCTTTGGAGCAAATGCCTGGTAATGCAAATTTCATGAAGGATCTCGTGACAAAGAAGCGGTCAATGAATTTTGAAATGATCAAAGTCACTCATCAAGTGAGTATTATGCATTCAATGGCTCCTAAGTTGGAGGATCGCGGTGCTTTCACGATTCCTTGTTCAATTGGAAGTGCCAACTTTGCTAAAGCTCTTTGTGATCTTGGGGCAAGTATCAATTTGATGCATGTAGTGCCCCATTTTCTCGCGAAAGCGGATTTCGACATGTGACAACTCTTTTAAAAGTAGGTATTAAAAAAGAAGAGTCGCCACCTAACGATTTTGAGGTGCATTAGGGCACCTATTTGCAAATGAATCTGTTTGACTAGTCCGTGTCACCAAAGATCGGGTAAGGGCTTAAATTACCTCAAAGAGAAGGTGTTAGGCACTTTTCGAGGTCCACAACTGTGGGTCCAGACCGAACTTTAGACTATGTGGATTATATAGTTAAGCTAGGTGATCAAATAAATAAAGGGAAATTTAGAAGACGAAGAGTCTTATTAAAACATTTGAAGATTGGTACAAATCTTAATGACTACAGGGATACAACTTCGTTATCCTAAGTTAAATGACTAAATGTAAATAATAAGTAAATAAAGAAAAAAAGGGGGGGGGGGGGCGCTTGTCTAGGACTCGATCTTGGTACTAGTCCATNTAGCCTAAAGGATCATCCCGTGCAACATAAATAATAGTTCGCAAACCCCTTAAGGTCGGTGCTGCTCATATTATTCAGCGGGCACAGACTATCATCTCCTGCTATCCAATTACTATGTTAAAGTTGTTTACCTTAAGCGCTCTAATTCAATTCTAAATCATACCCTATGCGTGCTTTACCCGTCCCATGCCTGTGGTCCCGGAGGCTTTGGACCTACTACTTTGGTAGTTCTAGACCTTCCTTAGGCTGCTTAAAATGAGAAATCTAGGCGTGCACTATAAAACAAATAGGACTACATATAATCAACACTAAAGGCCCAAGTTTACCTCCTCATTTAGACACGAATGCACACCATCAGTTATGCAA